GGAAGAGCGCCGGCTACTTGTTCGCGATCCAGCACGGTGCCAAGAAGATCTACGACGCGGATGACCGTGGCGAAGTCATTGATGGCGATCTAGGGAAGCATTTTGATGTAGAATTAGTAGGTGAAGACGCTAGGCAAGAGCCAATTTTGCAGTACACCCACGAAAACGCCAACAGGACTGTGGTTAATCCGTATATCCATTTCGGACAACGATCCGTATGGCCTAGAGGCTTGCCACTGGAGAATGTAGGTGAAATCAATCATGAGGAGTATTATATAGAGGTCTTTGGTGGTAAGCAGTTTATACAGCAAGGGATTTCAAATGGGTTACCAGATGTTGATTCAGTGTTCTACTTTACCCGGAAGACGAATTTCGTAGCTTTCAATATCAGATTTGACGATCATTCTCCTAAAGTGGCTTTCCCACAAGGTGTAATAATGGTTCCGATAAACTCATTCAACACCCTTTACCGTTCATCATCCTTCTGGGCGATGATGCTGCCTGTTTCAGTCAGTTCAATGGCTTCAGATGTGTTGAGAGGTTACTGGGGACAAAGGCTTTTGTGGGAAATCGGCGGATACGTTGTTGTTTATCCGCCTACCGTTCACCGGCACGATAAGATCGAGGCTTAGCCTTTTTCAGAGGAGAAGGATCTTCATGTCAATGTAGGTCGCTTGATCAAGTTCTTAATCTCTGGAGATCAGATAAGCATGGATTGTATGATAAGATCTTGGATTTGAGCTTTCCAATGGTGGAAGAAGGGTTTTGGACAGACCAGGATGTGAAATTTACAGCTGCTTAACTCCAGGACTTGTTTGCTCTCGGGTATCAACAGCCGAGATTGATGTCACTCGAACTGGATCGGCCACGTCACGGGGACAGGAAAGAGTTTGTTCCTCGGAAGCTGCCTTCGGTACATCTCGGGCCGAGGAAATAGGCAAAGTGAGCGCCGAAATTGGGAACTTGATAAGATGGAGGAAGAATTTCGGGAATGTAGTGCTTATTATGTTCTGTAAGGGACCAGTTGAACGGACCGCTCTGGAATGGAGATTGCTTTACGGGCGGATATTCAAAACCATGGTCATTTTTTCGTCTCGGAAGAACTCAGATCTTTACGTCGAAGAAGCAAGGCTTGATCAAATTTACAAGTAAGCATTAACATGGCATGGCCTAAGTTGTTTGCTTACAGGACCAGTTCGGTCTGTTAATGTTGTCCCTTTTCTTAGTTTGTTAGAAATGGGAATGGATTAGGTGTTTTGATTGGCGAGTTTTGTCTTTGAATTTAGGTATCTACCGAACGTATTTGATCGGTATAGCAGCTCGGACGGATTTTTGTTTCTCGAAGACGATACGATTCTCAATTACTGGAATTTACTTCAAGCTGACAAAACTAAGCTATGGATTACCGACAAGGTAATCGATCATCCCTAAACGTTTTCCTCGAGTTTCTCATAGAATCTCGACGTTATAGCTAACGGCGATTTTTCGTTTTCTAAGGTACCGAAGTCATGGACAATGTTAAAACCGGCTGGGAACTCGGATTGGTATTCAGTCCAGGCAGACTTAGCGAAGAGAATCATCGGGAAAATGCCGGTCCATTTCCAATTCAAGTACAAGAAAGCTGCCGCCAAGAACGAGGACGAAACCCTGACTGTATGCAGTTCGGAGATATTCTACGTGCCTAAGCGTTACGTAACGGATTTCATCGATCTCATTGGTTTCGTGGGTGATATGGATCTTCATTACAAAGTAGCGATGCCCATGTTCTTCGTGTCGATGGATTCGCCTCGGAATTTCGACACTATACTTAGTTCTACGGTCTACGAACCGAAACTGACTTCGTCGAACTCATCTTCGTCTCTGTATTCTGCCGTAGTATCGGCTGTTCTAAGGCAAAGGAGAATAGGAGATTACCAACTTGGGCGTATACGTGATCATGTTTTGGATTTCATTTTCTTTTTCCTTTTTGGTTTTTCTCACCAGAAATTCCATGTAAATACATTACGTGACTGTATAATTCCTCATGGTCAAATCTGATCTCATGTAATAGTTGATACACGAAATTCAGCTTTCTTTGGGCAGTCATTGTATAATTCCATCCAAAAATCAGAACTTGGTTTCAATCAATGAACAACAAAATGTTTCAGATACATATGTTGAACACAAAGCACAAAATTCCAAGGGAGGATTTTTTTTTATGGCAGAGTTAAGGAGTAATAAGCTTGTGGAAGAGCTCCTCGAGCTGAGAGTGACTCACCGCAATACCAAGTTTCTGAGCAATTGAAGTTCTAACCATGTCAGGATCCAAACTCGACAATGTATCCGCACTGCTCAGCGCTATGTACTCGTTCAGGTTGTGCGATTCTCCGTCTTCAGAAGCAAAAAACATGGTATACATTCGTTACGGGTAATTTAAACTCGGAAAATGAAATATGGTCGGATGAAGTCTAACTTACCTTCTGCAACAATGGGTTCGTATGGAGGAGGTTGAGCGGTCCAGTTTCCATCAGGATCTTTCATGTGTCTTCTATCCGAAGCAAAGTGCTTAAGGAATAGAGGAGCATGCACGACTCGGAAGAACCTGGTCAGGCAACCAGTCAGAGGACAACGGTAAACTGTGTTAAATCAATCTCGTAGTATTTGACCACTTGGGTTTGCCTTTCGCAACTTTCTTTGGCATGTAAGTGTATAGTCTGAGGAGTGATAGAAATATAATGTGAATGTAAGAAGAAATCATTTCAAAACCAGAAAGTAAGGGTTGGACTGGTTCATCACCGCATTCGCGATATAGTGATTGCGGGTGTTTTCGGTGGTTTTGTTGGCAACTGTAGGCGAATTGATAGCGATTGCGAGTTATTACTATTCAAAAGTTAATGGTTGATAACTATTACTATTGCGATTTGGTGTAAGTTACCAAAAAGTACATGTTATTCTGAAAAATAATATCTTAAAGCCGACAATTTTTAGCAAAATGCCACGGCCGCTATCAAAATGCAAGTGGAGAGTTGAGAATGATTGAACTAATCAGTTTTCCAATCGTCTGCAACAACCAAAAGTCACATTGCCGCGTTTGCGAGCGGTTGCTTGACAAACAGTTGGGCCCTAAATCACTCATCAGGGGATTGTGACGCTATAAGTGCAGAAAACTGCAAAATTACCTCTGGTACTCGGAGAAAAGCTGAAAAGATGGTTGGATGGTCTCAGCCACGTAAGAAGTTAACGGTGAAGGGAAGGGCAATGTCGAATCCAGATCCCACACCAGAGGCTGAGACTGACTTCCTTTTCGCCTCTGTCCATACAGACATAGATAATCAAATCTGATTATGGAAACATCATTGAACAAAGTTTCAGCCTTGCCGCAGCTTTTACCTGGACACAGATGACATGATAATCCCAGAGGACAATCCCATCAGCTCTTCCACTAGCTTTCTGATGCCAAAGCGGAACCTACATGAACACATAATCGAAACCCTCAAGCTAATGTAGAACGATATTCCAATTTCCAGCAAGTTTCATTCAAAAAGAAACCAGTTCTTGCTTGCAAATCCAATCAACAAACTGAAGTAGTAATTTAGTATACCAATGACTCTACAGTGATATCAACGGGTTCGATCCAAACCAACACAGGACAAAGCATACATTAGGAAGTTCCATTGACCAACATGTTTGCAGAGAACAGACTTGCCTGCTTCTTATCATTGGAGATGAAAACGACAAAGAGGTCGGATCCTGTGGCATCTGCAACTCCATTCTCGCACAACGACTTGCAGAGCAGATAGACGTTCTCCTCGCTGTCAAAAAATTTTACATACCCGAGAGGAAGAAACTGATTTTCTTCAGTTCTACCAATGACGAATAGGACGCAGCCGATTGGACAAGAGAACAAAGGAAATCGACGACAGCCCTCGAGAGTGTTTTCTGGGTTTCAGCAATCAATTGAACACCTATTCTAGCAGCTCTCGATCATTCGCAATTTCTCGCCGATTCAAAAAGGCATAATCAAATGGAACAATTTCACAGCATAAACTGGAGATGGAGAAAAAGACTACCAGTAAAACGGCGTGTGCCGAAACTTAGCAGAGTCTGATGCGGTAAGCTCCGAGCTTTTGCTGGACATTTCTTCTGGTGCGATTCGTGTCCTTTAATTGTCTTTCTGCCCGTAATTTTGATTCTCCGAATCCCGAAGAATGGTTTGTATAAATAAAATGGCGTCGGAAGAAGAAATAAACCGCCACGTCGTTGACACTATAAACGACATCGTTTTGCCAAATGCGAAAGGAAAACGACACCGTTTCAGTGACGAGAACTGCCATGAAGGACAGACGACCCAATAGCGCCGCCGCAGCATCATCGCCGGAATATTCGCGACAACTGCGACAGTCCGATTCCGGCGTGTCTATGCCACGTCATCCAGACGGATCCAATACGGACGGACGAGGACGAAGATCGTCATCCCTCCACCAGCTGCACGAGTCCAAGCACAAGCTCAACACCGTCCCTCTCCTTGCAAAGTCCCTCCGGCTGCCGTCTCCTCAACCACCACATCTCCGGGGACGGAAACGGCAACCTCAACTCCGCCGGAACTGTCGACCAAACTCCTCCAGCCATCTCCTTCCTTTCCCGCCGTCACCATCTCCGAGTTCAAATCCCGCAACCTCCTGAACAACCAGAATTCGCCGGTAACGTTGATAGTGTCCGACAGGACGTGGAAGCACGCGAAGGAGATGGCGAAGGCGAGGGAGAAGGTCCCGAGAGAGGTTGGGCCGATGAAAGTGTGTTTGGATGCAAGGATTGACGAATCCGTGAGCGGGAGGTCGGTCCAAACAAAAGCCTTACTCTTTTGGACCGATATCCGTTTTATTTAAATAGAAATACGACCACGGATCATTTTTAAAAAAACTCAATTTCTAAAGTGTGGCAAAAACAATTAAATCTGATCTGACATGAATATATTTTTTACACAGTCTGATCTATCACAATAATTTTGATCTGATATTTAAAAATAATAAATATCACGTCAAAAATTTTTATAATTTTTTATAGCAAATATTTTTTGCAAAAAAAAAAAAACACCGTCATTTTTTTTAGGTTACTTCTAATTTCAGTGAAATTATCTCTCTTTAATTAAAATCCTCATTTCACAAATCTAACCCAATATATTTGAGATGATAAGTTGATTTGGTATTGGTTGACTTGGTAAATCTAGTGTGACTTGATATATCAAACCTCATCTAATATTAAAAAAATATCTCGTCATTTTTTTTTTGAAACTTTCTTAGAACAAATGTTTTTTGAAATGAAATTTCACTAAAAAAATATTTTTTTTACCTTTTTAGTATAAATTATTAGATTATTAATATTTGAAATTTTATAAAGATTGTTACGAAAAATTAAAAATAATATAAATTTAAAACAAATATGTGATAAACGAAGAAATATGTGATAAGAGGGAAATCAAACGAGAGATGCTGAAAAAATTAGGATGTTTTTTTAGAAAAATAGTTTATTTTAGATAAGAACCAATAAAATTTAAGAGTATTTTGAATAATTTATCATAAAAGATATCTATTTCAAATAATAAAAAATAAATTAAAAATAGCGTTTCATTTCAGAAGAGTTCCTCTAATTATTATTATCATTATTATCATTATGATTAGTTCGTAGATTTTTCTTGTTATTGATGAAAATGATTTACCATACCACAAACCAGACAAATTTCTTTGTAATTATACCCGAAATAACCAAACCAAACTAAACCAGCCCCTCTGAACCGGAAATAACTACAAATCGGTTTGTAAAAGCAAGACGTTTTTGCAATAAAGTTTTGTGGGTCACACCATATTATACAAAGGAGAGGGTATTGAACCCGCCACGTGAGAAAGAGGGTGCCGTGGCAACTTGAGAGCACTTGAACAGAAAAGCCTGGCAACAAAATAGTGAAATATGGTACAACTTTAATCACACATCCACATGCTATGTTTAGTCCCCCGATATTTTTAAAGATGAAACTTTTATCTTTTTATATTCACTGTTTCATTTTAGAAACAATTTTAACAACTTAATGTAAATTATTTAGAGTTTACGGTTCCGTAATATCATTTTTTTTTTCAAATATAGTCATGTTAATTGTTCTTTTTATGCCCGTTTAGGGTTTAGTAATGTATAAAATATAGTGTGTTATTTATTCGCAATATGTGAGATGGTTAAAATAATTTTTTAGATATACTTTTATCATTTAATTTTCACAGTGCATTGATCAATCATTTTTTATTAACGCGTTTATCATATTTAATTATCTCACTCGAAGATTCAGTAAATAGGTGAGCCTTTGTTTCACGAAATACCATTCGGTTAAATTTCAAGATAATTTTTTTTGGCTACATATACCATATGATATGATGCCTTGTAATTTTAGTATTTTATACTTTATATGTTAAAAACAAATTATTATAATTGTGTGCCTCTCGGCTATGCATCTATTATTCTTCCCCCCCCCCCTTCTAATTTAGTTATTTATAAATTAAAATGATATTCAATTCGTTCAATCAAAGCTAGATGTAAAAAAAACATAATTTTATAATATTAAAAGAAAACGGGCATTAGACACGGATCGGATACCCGAAAATTTGAGGGTATTCGAACCCGAACCCGAACCCGAACGTCTCGGATTAATTGTTTTATTACCCGATCTCGTACCCGTGAAATCGGGTACCCGGACCCGAAAATCCGTGAGATAATTATCGGATACCCGAAGATACTCGAACCCGGATTTTTCTAATTATTTTCAAACATTTTTTTAAAAATATATTTACATATACATACTCAAAATCATTCAAAATAAATTTAAATTGTATTTATATCTAAAATAAATTTATTTTTAAAAAATACATCATAAATATATTCAATAAAATATCTATATAATCATTCATATTAAATAAAATAATATAAAATCTAATAAAAAAATTAAAATTTAAAATAATTTTTTATTATCCGGATACCCAAGGGTACCCATGAGATAATAACCACTATCCGAATCCGAATCCAAAAATTCGGGTATTCTAATATTAATACCGACCTCATATCTCGTTCGTTCGGATACCCGAATTTTTGGATATCCGACCTTCGGAGCGGGTCGGGTATTCGAAATCCGGAAACCGTTTGATTGGAGGATCGGTCCATCATGGCACTCTCCAATTTATATTTTTCTATAACAACCCTAGCAATAATTTTCTCATCCAAATATAAATTATTAGTCAAAGAAATAAACCATTAATTAGTTTCTTTCCAAAATTGTTGGATGCCTTTTTCCTACAAACATAACGAGAAAACAACTAATATCAATAAAAAAAATAAGCAGCAAATATAAAAATTATAAATGGTAAGCAATGTCATAATGTCATTTGTTTCGTGATGCATGAATTTAGCCCTATTTTTATCCGGCACATTTATATTCTGTTCCAAATGAAGGATACGAGGGCTCAAAGTATTTGTTCGACCATTAAACTTTGATTTCTAGATTTTAATTTTTATATAAATGCAAGCAAAAAATCATAATATATAAAATCGAGTTTTAAATTTTCAAAATTTGTGTGTAGAGAAAATATGGACCTTACTGTGGTAATTAATAAATTTATTTCTCAAAAATATTATTAAATTATAAGAATTAATAACTTTCTTTCCCAAATTTTACATACTTTTATATATTTTTTTTACAAAAAGTATGAAATCCTTAGAACTAGGGGTGGGCGTTTCGGGAAACGGTTCGGGTTCGGGACGAAATAGATCGGTTCGGTTCTTTCGGTTTTACAAAAATAGGTACCAATCGAGTTTTTTATTGTATTCGGTTCGGTTCGGTTTCGGTATCGGTTCGGTTCGGTTCCGAGTTTTATTAAAAAAAAATGTTAGATTTCCTTTAAAAATATTCGGTTTTTCGGGATTTTTAAAGTTCGGTTCGGTTCGGTTCGGTTCCGGGAAAATTCGGTTCTCTAAAAATGGTACCGTTCGGAAAATAACAACGGTTTCGGGTCGGAAAAAATACCGTTTTAACGGTTCGGTTCGGTCCGGTTCCGAAGAACCGAACCGAAACGCCCACCCCTACTTAGAACTAATACAAACTCTTTAGTTTAATAAAAAAAATTATATTGTTATATATATATATTATAATTTTGTTGTGTGTTGTTCATATTATTGTCTAATTATATTTATTCTCTTTCCTATAATTTTAATAGTAGAAACTTATATTTATTATCTTATTTATTATTAGATTTTTTTGACTCCTTATTTATTAGTATTAGATTTGAAAAGTCTGTTATTGACTTGGATTTCAAAATCGTTTTGTTTATTTATTTATTTAATCACAAAACGTAAATGTCATTATATGATTTAATTATATAAACGATTATTTTTAAAATTTTCTTACATATTGTAATTTATATCGATTTAACAATTATTTTTCTATATTATTATTTTTAAACTGATTTATACTTCTCAATGTTTATTTGTGATATAAGAATAATATACAAATTATTAATTTGAATTTATCATTTTTTTATTAAAATTAGCGGTAATATAAAAAAATAAGTAGGTGTATCATGTGAATATTATCCTAATTTAAAAAATAGAATAAATATATATATAAAAAAAAAGAAGGTCGTGGACCATTGCAGAACGTATTTTATAAGAAAAAATGACATATCAGATGGAAAAAAAATTAATTATTGTTTTGACGTAACAAACGTTATATGTTGTGTTGTTGTAAAAGAAAACCCGAAAACGACCGGATCTTTATCATCGCCTTAAATTTGGACAGGCTCTTGTCTTCCTCCAACCTCTGTCTCCGTCTTCTTCTTCCTCGCCTTGTCGTCGCTCTGTAAATCTCAAATCTCCAATAAGTAGTCAAATTACATTGAAAAAAGGTAGAGAGAGAGAGAGAAACGCCATAGCAAGCGCACACCTCGTTCAATAATTCAATTCTGCTCTCTTTCTTTCTTGCCTGATTTCTCTCTTTTTCGTTGCCAGCTCTTCATTGCCCCTTCTCGTCTTCCCCCCCCCCC